AAATCTGTAAATAGCAAAAGGCACCACCTCAGGTTCTGTTTGATACATCTACCAATTTTCGTTGAAAAATATTGAACGTTTTTTGAGTTATGCGACGGATTACGGACGGACGAGGCGTCTACTATTTACCCCCGCATTACATGCCGGGATAAAATGGTCCAAAACAGCAAAAATCGAAGGTGTCAAAACACACCTGCAGTGTGTCTGTTTCAAACACAACAAGAAGACAAAGTCATCAATATCCCCCGCAACGGCAAAATACTCTTTATGAAAAGTTATATCTACTAGTTATGATTATGTCAATGTTTTGGAGTGTATACAGCAAAGTGGAAGGAGCGTATTGAAAGGTTTTTAAGATCTGCTCCAGAGAGGTGCACTGCCACCAAATTCACTTGAAGCCTAACTTAATGCCATGGAAATGCAACAAGATGACATCCTCATAGTCACAGCCTAAGTCATGTTTCCATGGAAACCGCAAAAAATAAAATTCATATCTGGGTCTAACCCCCAAAAGGCACATCTAGGGATCATGCTTGACATATGAAACACGTTTGATGAAGCTAGCATGTATAGTTTGGGAGATCTGCTCAGGACAAGATGACATCCTCGTAGCCACAGCCTAAGTCACGTTTCTATAGAAACCGCAAACAATAAAATTCATATTTGGGTCTAACCCCAAAAGGCACATCTAGGGATCAGGGTTGACATGTGTACCAAGTTTGGTTAAGCTATCACCAATAGTTTAGGAGATATGCTTCGGACAAAGTATGGCGGACGCACGGACGGACGGAACTCGTTTCTATATCCTCCGCAACATCTTTGTTAGAATCATCAACAGTGGTTCGGGGTGCTCTTAACTGATGATTCACGATTCTGTCTTGAGCACAACGATGGAAGGTAATAGGGTTTTGAGGCGGCGTGGAGAAAGCTACCATGATGATACTGTGACGGAGAGAAACGGATTTGGTGGTGGCTCTGTGATGCTTTGGGGAAACATCATCTTTCATCACCGTACACCTCAGTACCATGTACAGGGCAATTTGACTGTCTTGAGGTACCGGGATCTATGATCTTGCGTCCTCTGTTTTGTCCAGCTTTGAACACCATTGGTGCCGGAGCACAGCTGCAAGACGACAATGCCAGACCACATCGAGCTCGAGTCGTTAGAGACTTTTGCAACAAAATAATGTGAATGTGATGCAGTGGCCAGCTTATTCACCGGATCTGGCTCCAACTGAACATCTATGGGACATTCTTGGACGACGTGTTAGAGACAATCATGGAATGGCACCGACTCCTCAGGTTCTTGTACAGTGGCTCCAAAGGGAATGGCAGTTGATTCCACAAGCTACCCACCGCACCCTTGTAGGGTCCATGAGGCGCAGATATACAGAATGCATCAATCAACGTGGAGGACACACTTACTATTGATTATGTGACTTTCAGTTTTGGCCCATATCCTCTTCCTCTGCTTGTACTGGAATTGCATTCTGTGATATCTGACCATAAATCGATTACATTTTTAGACCAACAATTGTTTTATATACCCTTGTAATAAACCGACCCTGTCACTTTACATTTACTTTGTTATGCTCTACCGGTAGTCCTTTTCAATGAAATGAAATACGTGCTCTTAGGCTATTCGAAATCCCCTAATGTGTAAGTTTTATTAAGTGAAAAGCCTCAGTACGAATTATACCAACCTTTACTTTGTATTTACGAGCATTTGTCTTCCTCCAAAGGAATGTTAGAGACATTTAAATTCATTTTGAGCAAGTGTACGAAAACATGCATCCGTATGCCAAGTCAATGCCTGCACAAATGAGAATACAAGGTGTCTGTATATTTGTTTAATTAAAAGTTGTATTTTTTTTATTGTGACTTCAGCAAAATCTCCACTATATCTAGATTTCACTGGGATTCTGGACCAACAGGCTAGAAGACACCAAACCAATTCTATAGCATACTGATTACAGACAAGTGTCTGTCAAGAGGACAAGAATTCGCTACATGAGCAAGCATATCCTTGTCATTCCCAGGTCTCCAGACTGGAGCTTGTGATATTTCCCATGACATGCAGCACATCGAGACTCTATGATATGTATTAAAGGATAACAGTTTCAGTCATCAAGCCAGCGCCATTTTACTATGACTTTGCAAATGTGACTGAATGTGTGTGTACAATGCTATACCTTAATTCACAGCAAATACTTTTGAGGCAAATTACAATAATACAACAATTATTACTCCCTTTTTGTCATCCATGGTTTATCATTTAAGCCCTATTTCGTATTTCCCCTGCTGCTCATGTAAATTTGTACAGTGTATTACAAGTAGTATGTAGTGGTGGGAACAGGCAAATGACAAAGATTATGCAAATTATCTCATCTCCGAGATTGTCAAAGATATATATTACAATCAATATTGCAGTCTGATGTAATTATCAAACACACGGTTATAATGCAAGGTCATAACTCCAGGCCCGATGTAGTGAATTTGTTCAATGTTATGAAACATGTGCGCGGCAACGCAGTAAAAGAGAACTGGTCCGTTGATTCCCCAAAACTCATCGATCAAATGATTATAATTGATTGTTTTATCTTGCTCAATGGAGGTGTCAGAATTCACTGTTTATGTATGTAGGTTAACTGAAGCAGACGATGTAGACCTATTTTCCGGAGCAGAACTCTAAAACCGTTCAATATGTCTTCACCAAACTTGGCACATAGATTGGTCTGGTGGCGTACTGGTGCCTTTCGGTAGTTTTGGAATTCTGAATAAAATATTTTTGGCATTTCCATGGCAACAAGTTTGACTTAAACTGAAATTGGTGGTAGTGCTCTTTTCCGGAGCAGTGCCGTAAAACCGTTCAATGTTTCTTCACCAAACTTCGCACATACATAGATCTGGTGGTGTACGGGTGCCTTTTGGTAGTTTTGGAATTCATTTCCATGGCAACAAGTTTGATTTAGACTGAAATTGGCGATAGTGCTCCTTTCTGGAGCAGAATTTAAAAAACCTTTCAATACTCACCTTCCACTTTTCTATATACACACCTAAATATTTGACATAATCATAACTCGTAGACATAATCATATCATGAACAGTATTTTGCCATTGCGGGGGATATTGATGACTTTGTCTTCTTGTTCTTTAAGAAGCGAGATATCTTGAGCATTGCGACAATGACGACAAATGACATATGACACTAATGTGAAAAACCTTAAGGGCTGAGAGACTGGCCATAAAATCATAAAACGCTATAGATAATTTCAAACACAAGATTGTTACACATGAGACATGACATCGAAAGAATTTCATTGTACAGCTTAAGATACATAGGCTATTTTTTCCTTTCCCTTTGTGTGGATATTGAAGGATACATTTATCGACCAAGGCCCCTGATGGATATTCCGTTCTTGTTTGTTGTATTTACGTGTTACACCTTTTTATCCCCCGCAACGCGTTTTGCGGGGGGTATTAAAATGGACTCCGTCGGTCCGTCCTTCCGTGAACATTTGTTTTTTCCGGAGCAGAACTCTAAAACCAATCACTATTTCTTCACCAAACTGGACACATAGATAGATCTGGTAGTATACTGGTGCTTTCTGGTAGTTTTGGAATTCTGAATAAAACATTTTTGGCGTTTCCATGGCAACAAGTTCGACTTAGAATGAAGTTAGTGGTAGTGCTCTTTTCCGGAGCAGAACTCTAAAACCAATCACTATTTCTTCACCAAACTTGGCACATAGATAGATCTGATAGTATACTGGTGCCTTTTGGTAGTTTTGGAATTCTGAATAAAATATTTTTGCGTTTCCGTGGCATCAAGTTTGACTTAGCCTGAAATTGGTGGTAGTGCACTTTTCCGGAGCTGAACTCTAAAACCGTTCACTATTTCTTCACTAAACTTGGCACATAGATAGATCTGGTAGTATACTTGTGCGTTTTGGTAGTTTTGGAATTCTGAATAAAATATTTTTGGCGTTTCCATGGCAACAAGTTTGACTAAAACAGAAATTAGTGATAGTGCACTTTTTCGGAGCAGAACTCTAAAACCGTTCAATTTTTCTTCATCAAACTTAGCACATACATAGATCTGGTGGTGTACTGGTGCCTTTTGGTAGTTTTGGATTTCTTAATAAAATAGTTTTGGCATTTCGATGGCAACAAGTTTGACATAGACTGAAATTTATGAAAATTATAATTTGTGATGAAACAACAAGTTTGTCTGTTTATTGCATCAAGTGTATTTGGAGTTGTTATACTAAGTATTTGTTCAAAGAAATCAACGATTGTTTTGCTTAAATTATGCGTACAACGGATCGCTAGTTTTCGGCTTAATTTACAATCTTGAAACCTGTGTACAAAACAATGCCTGTCAAAACAGCCCATGATAAGAAATTTTGATTCTGCGAAGGGAAAGTTGATGCAAATTTTAATACCTTCCAACTTCGATAGTTGTTTGGGTTTACACCTTACGAAACGATATGTGTTTATAATAAAAGCTAACATCTATTATGTTCTAATCAATTTTGTTCTCCCTCACAGTTCAGGATACCTTAGTGTCTCTAGACATTTCCATAAATATGTTGTATGTAATTCTGTATTTTGTCGTGGACCAAATTTTATTTGATACTGATTCATAAATACGTGCCCGTGATATAGTCATGATTTCAGACGAGATTACTACTGACCACTTATGTCCTCAGAAAAAGTGTATCAATATTTACATAGATCACAACTATATTTTCTGACCACTATTCATAAATAAACACATTCGTTCCAATTGGCTTTAGTCAAGAATGTCAATTTAAGGATTGTCAAAGGCATTTAGAAGTTATGCACATAAGAAAGAGCGTTTTATGGATGTCAACTTCTTTAGTATGAGGAACACAACGTATGAATATACTCCCAACCGTTGTGTTCCTCATAATAGAAAAGTTGACATCCATGAAAGTCTATTTCGTAATGTCAAGTTAAGAAAATATACAGCCTACCTAGAAGAACCAGCATGCCAAAATTCAACATGGTTCAGGGTGGTTTCACAAGCAACGTTTCTGCGTCTGGACGGAGAGCCACTGCGGCGATAATCAGTTCGTCCCTCTATTTGTAACGACTGTCTCCATAGCACCGTAATGTTGAGTCACATGGTTACAACATAACATATGCCAGTGTAGAGAACATGCCATGCAACCAAGGGCAACTTTGTCAGTTAAGAGGCAGTCAGATCCTAGGGAGATATACCACAGAGACACGCAAGACTACCGCTGATTACATTACCAGCAATGCTTTGAATCGCAACATCAAGTCATAGACGAGTACACTTGTGTCAGTATACTGGAAAATACCCATCTCGTTAGAGGCAAGACGTTACACGACCGTACTTGCTGGCACATGCAATCTGTTGCCAACAACTCAACGTGTTAGGTTACACCCCGGCTGTTGTAGTAAGCTTTCTTTTCTTTTTTTTTGCTATTTAAGAACTATTGACTGGAAATCTTGGGAAGGGTTGCAATGACACCATTGCAGTATTAATAGTGAAGCAGCAAACATTAAACAAAGTGTAAAGTCATAATAACAAATGCAACATTGCACACACGTTTAATATTTCAACCTTGAATAGATTCGTGGGCAAATAACTATTTTGGAGTTTTCCAGACGAAATGTTTTGTATCTATACTAGGCACATAAAGACACTGTGCATACAGAAATCTAAAATCTAAAGTTATCAAACCTTTGTAGACACATAAGGATTTAAACTCAGAGATTAGTGACATATATCCAACATGCATGGACGTGCCACGTTCCGTGACGTCAGTGGGTTCGTTCAATACGTGCAATACATGCACGTGCATTCCGGGAAAGAGAAACAGAGCAAATGAATGCCACAAAATACTGTCACTTAGGAAAGCTCAACCCCTGCCCTTGCGATCGTTAAAAAAATTAGACGGCTATTGAAACGCATAACATGCCAAGACTCACGTCTGCAAAACGTCATGAGGCCATTGGGATGGTCCGTGGGGGAATGTCTCAACGACAAGTGGCTGCACATTTCCACTGCCACCGGAACACCATTTCTGCACTGGTGAGACGCTACTAAAACACAAATGACGTCATCGATCGGCCACGTTCTGGACGTCCACGTGTAACAACGCCAAGACAGGACAAGGGATAAGGGTGACACTTCTTCGCCACAGGTTTGAGACTGCAGTGATGACTGCCCGAACCATCCAAGGACTTCGCCGTATCCACCCCAACACAGTTCGACAACGTTTACGTCATCACGGGATCAGACCACGACGTCCCGCCATACGGCGTATCCTGACACAACGTCATTGACAAGCTCGCCGAATGTGGTCATGTCAGTAGACCCTTGTTTTGGTGGAGAAATGTTGTTTTTACAGGTGAGTCCAGGTTTAACATTTCCCATAGTGATGGACGTCAACGTGCCTATAGACGCTTGGGAGATCGTTATACACAGGCCTGTGTCTTGGAGAGGAATCGCTTTGGTGGTGGTTCCGTGATGATTTCGGGTGGAATAACAGCACGCCAAAGAACTCATTTGGTGATTGTTCAGGGCAACTTAACTGGTGTGGGCTACAGGGATCAGATTGTTCGACCTGTGGCAATTCCTTTTCTGCAACGTCATGGCCCTGGGTTAACCTTCCAACAGTGAGGGAGTGAGTTAATATTTAAAGTCACATCGGCAATATTTCAGCCATATCGTGACGACAACATTTGATATTGAAATGAGATATATGTATATTATAAAAACCTGCCGACGAAGGACAGTAAAACAACTAAAATATCGCAATTTGAAGTAAAACTGGCGTAGAAAGTTAAAACAAATAGCACTATTTGGACAAAACAATATAAAAAAGCGGCTAGAGATCGCCAACAACTGAAGGGAGATCACCATACTAGGGACCATTGGGACTTACATTACTTTTGCTACCTGCATGGACCCTAGCTGGATTTACACAATCCCTTCAGCCATTGGCGTTGATGCTGAAATTAAGCCATACATTAAAAATACAACAATTCTACGATTAAAAACCTGGTACACTTAAATTGACTTCAAATGTTTTGGGACTTACATACCCTCGCAGGACAATAATTTTACGCTACGTCAACCCCCTTTGAGGGTACTAATAATCTCAGTTACTAATTCAAACTACCAATAATAAAATATCTATCTATTTACAAATCACTTAACAAATCTAATTCCTTTAAAAATGCAATAATTAAATGAGAACTGACATTATTAAAAAGATCCTTCAATGTTTTGACATTGAAATACTTATCCCTTGTGATGGAATATTCAACACAGTCAAGCAGGACATGCTTGACTGTGATCCTTCCATCACAAGGGATGCAAAAAGGAGGATCTTCGCCTTTCAGTAAATATTCGTGAGTATATCGAATGTGGCCAATGCGACATCGTCGCATAATGACCTCTTCAAATCTGGATTGACAACCCAAGTAGGTGTCACCAATATAAGGTTTTATTTCATGTAATTTATTTATACCTACTTGGGTGTTCCACTTCTTCTGCATCAGATCACGGATGTAAGTTCTAATGCTAGCTTTGTAATCAGAGTATGGGATCAGAAGTGGTGTCACAGATTTGTGTAGTGCTGCCTTGGCAGCAAGATCGGCCATTGTGTTCCCAGAAATGCAAACGTGGCTGGGTAACCAACAGAAGACGATGTCGCATTAGCCAGTAGCAAGATCATTATATAATTCGATTATTTCAATTCAAAGTGGATGTTTGCAAGATAGATTTTTAATCGCCTGAAGGCAAGAAAGTCAGAAAAAGATTATGTATTGTTTATGTTTAGGATGCCTTTGAATATATTTAAGAGCTGTTAAGATGGCGTTTGCTTCTGCTGTAAATATAGAGCTGTTATCAGGTATTCTAGAAGATATTGTTCTGGCACATGCCACTGCGCCACCGTCCTTGGACCCATGTGTAAATAAGGATTTGTATGTATTATATTTATTTCTTAATTGACTAAATTCTTGTTTATACTGTAATTCATTTGTTTCTGATTTTTTAAATGTACTTAATGTTAGGTCAACCTGTGGCCTAACCAATTGCCAAGGAGGAGAAGAAAGAAGACGGGAAGGAGATATATTTTCCAGCTCAATGCCGGTAGCAGAAATGAATGGTTGAATTCTTAAACCAAGAGGCGGAAAAAGAGAAGGCTTTTTGTTGTACAAATCCTCATAGAGACGATTAAAGACACAATGAAATGCAGGGTTAGATTCGATAGAATAAAGTTTTGTGATATACTGCAAGGACAATTTTATACGGCGTTGTGTAAGAGATGGTTCATCTGCCTCGACGTAGAGACTGTCAACAGGAGAAGTTCTAAAGGATCCAAGGATCCTTAGACCTTGGTGATGAACAGAATCTAAGAGCTTTAAGCTGCTTTTGCAGGCTCCACCATGTCTGATGGAGCCAAAATCAAGTTTGGAACGGACCAATGATCGATATAGGTGTAGGAGAGTGGCTTGATTCCCTCCCCACTTAGAATTTGAAACAACTTCCAACAAGTCAAGTGCCTTCAGGCATTTAGTTTTAAGGGATTTAATATGCGGCAGAAACGTTAAATGAGAGTCAAAAATTAAACCCAAGAACTTTGGCTTCCTTAACAACTTTGATGGAGGAGCCATTTAGAAACAGTTCAGGGTCTTTATGCGGTTTATATTTCCGACAAAAATGTATAAAATTAGTTTTAGATTTAGAAAATTTAGAACCGTTTTCAAGACACCATTTAACTATTTTGTTTAAACACAACTGCATTTGCCGTTCAATAGTATGCATATTTGTACCACGACAAGAAATATTAAAAACCTCCACAAATAACAATCCATCAATTGAATCGTTTATATACTATTTATCTTTATAATAAAGAGTGTGACAGACAAAATACTGCCTTGTGGGACACCCTGATCCTGATTGTAATGGTCAGACAGGGTAGAACCCATTCGGACTTGAAATTGTCTGTCATTTAAAAAGTTAGCTATAAATTGGGACAGGCGGCCTCGCAATCCAAAGCCATGTAAATCTTTTAAAATGCCATATTTCCACGTAGTGTCATATGCTTTTTCTAGATAAAAAATGATAGACACAGCGTGCTGTTTATTTATTAGAGCGTTTTTAACAAATGATTCTATACGCACCAAGTGATCGACAGTACTTCTGTTTTTACGGAAACCACATTGTATATCTGTTATTAGGTTATTGGTTTCCAAGTACCAAACAAGTCGATTATTTATCATGCGTTCCATGGTCTTGCAAACACAGCTAGTTAATGAAATTGGCGTATAATTCGAAGGATCAGTATGATCACGTCCAGGTTTAGGTATGGGCACAATTATAGCATCATGCCACGACGAAGGAAATAGTCCAGATGTCCAAATGTCATCAAGAATACGTAAGAGCGTCTCTAAACATGATTCAGGTAAGTGTTTCAGGAGTTGATAATGTATACCATCAGCTCCTGAAGCAGTATCGTGAGCTTGGTCAAGAGCAGTATGAAGCTCATGTATCGAAAAGGTTTCATTGTAGTCTTCTCATTGGTCTGAATTGAAATTAATAGATTTCTTTTCTTGCTGTCTTTGATATTTCTGGAATTCAGGTACATAGTTAGATGAGGAAGAATGTTTGGCCAAAGTTTCTCCAAGTTTATTTGCTATGTCAGATTTATCAGTTAATAATTCATCTCCATCTTTGAGATGCTTAATGCTAGATTTAGAGCCCTTACCTTTTATTTTCTGGATCATGTCCCATACCTTTGATATCGGCGTGCGCGAATTGATGTTTGATACATAGTTTCGCCAAGATTGGCGTTTACTTTGTTTAAAAGTACGCCGGGCGTTTAAATTTTTTAATTTGTTTAAATTGTGGACCATAGGAACGCAACGGAAATAATGTTTGGCTTTCTTCCGTGCCTTGCGAGCCTGTTTGCATTCAGCGTTAAACCATGGTTTGCGTACATGAGGAACTGCAGAGGATTTGGGGATACACTTGTCAGCTATGTTTTTGAGCTCATCTGAAAAACATTTGATGGCATCAGGAAGATCATGAAAAAGTTCAGGTTTGAGTTTGTCAGCACAGAAAGTTTCATATAAAGGCCAGTTAGCCTTCTTAAAGTTCCATCTGGATGATGGAG